TACCTTCCCTAATACTAACTCGTCCCAAACAAATTGCACAACGATGGACATATCCAACAATCGACCTGCTAAAGCTTTTTAAACTCATGACACCATCACATGAACAAATCCTCTCCTTCCTAAGCAACCCCAAATCCACGCAATACTGCAAAACCTTATCCTCCTCGAACTACAAGTGCAAATTCGTTAGAGCACGCATTTGACACGAATCAAGCGCTATACAACCTTGAAATCATGTGCATGAACCTCAATGGAAGTTTATAATCACTCTATCGAAATTTAGCGAAGAAATCAAGATGAGACATTATGTCTAGCGGTCATTAGCAAGAAGAAGTGAATGACTTTACAAGGACGTATTTTCAACAAACAGCATAACTTATTTGATAGGCTTAATATTTACAAAAAGGATTTAATTCACACTCACCTATTCACAAGGTGTTTTTTTTAACCCATTAACAACGAAACTATGATACACCAATACAATGTAATACAACTTAACTGTCTTTTTAAATTTGTTGCAATATTTCAATAACTGATAATAGTTCCATTGCTTTCATACAGCTATTTGGTCGATAACAGATGGTCATTATGTAAATCATTGGAATGATGTGGTCCTATGCAATTTCCTACTTTGATCTGCCTATCTGTATAAGATGAGGAATTCACTTTTCTAATAAGCACAACTTGTATTGCGCCCAGATGTGGAAAAAAAGACTATTACATGCAGTGAATCCATTAGGATACTGTCAAAAATGATATCTAGATGATGCGTTGCATATAAGACAACAAATTTCAGAACTTAGTGTTTTTCCAGACATCTAGTCTATGCGTATACATGGATGACTGTCAGCTTAAAGCACTTTTAAAAATATTTACAAGACATAAATTAGCAGTTTTGTTAGAAATATATATATTAAAAAGTCACAGTCATAATATATATAACATAATGAAGTGACAAGTGAACGACATTCTAATCGAGAAAAACTGTCGTATATGCAATTCATAAGTCTGTTAGATTTATTCCATTGCATTTCAGGCGAACAGAACTAACTGATATTCTCATGGACAAGTTCATGACATTTTTTTGGAACAGTTTGATAAACAAAACCCTTTGTGTTAAAACTATTTGCACATTCCTAAAAGTCTCCGTATGAAAGGCGGCAAAGTGTTCTTAGGCGCAATTGCCAAACATCTGATTAACACGGGATATACAGTGGAAATTAGATACGCTTTCAAATAGTCAATACACAAACAAAACTACGGTTACTTCAGTCCGCAGAAGCAATTGCTATCAAAAGATTTCGACCCAACCTTTGTATAAAGAAAGATAGTGTGACTAATCCCTCACTACCCTGATAACTGTGATTGTTTTGTTCGTGTGCTTTTGTGTTTTGTTCTGTTGCGTAACATTCCACTAAATTTTGATTTTAACCTGAATTGAACTCACCATTAAGTTTCCAAATCTAGTGAAATGTTTTGTCTATGTCATAACTTTAATTTACTATTCACCCCCACCCTTTTGATGTCTCCATCATAATATGTATAATTCACTCTGTTGTCCAATCTTGTATTTTGTCCCTAGTCAGTCCTTGTTTCAAAGTGACATCTGAATTCAACCGCCCACTTGTCCAATTATGCTATAAATAGTTAGTCTTCTAACACTGAACAATTCGTCTACTTTTGGAATTATATTGCTTACACTTTCGATCGGTAACTCGAAGTCGCTGTGAAAAAAGTATGCTCACAAAATTTTGTAACATATAATTTGACTTTTTTGGTATGTGCGCCGTTGAAGAGAATCCATGAAGTAAAACGGGGTCGCATTATCCTACAAATAAGTTCGTCCTGTCCTCGTTCGCACTAATAAAGCCAACTGGTTGTATGAAAGTCATTTGCTTCATATTCTGGCAATACAGTTTATTATACAGGGAAATAGACATCTTCAACCCCAGATCAATATACAATAAGGTCAACTTGAAACACTGATTATGATTTCATGCTCAACTGTGACTGATGCATACAATCATACTATCCTAGACTTTACACCGAACTTAATTTAACCTATTATTTATTATTGTTCTTTCCATGCATCCTAAGTGGAATATATGGCTTCAGCGACACATCTCAAGTGACACACTTTCAAGTAGCTACACAACTGTCCACAAGCTTTCATCTCCTAATCAACTGATCTTGTCCACGTTATCTTCCGACGCCTAACCATTAGCTTCATATTCAAATTTCACTCAAGAGTCTAACGTGTGATATTACTTCATGGTCTCCTAAGCGTATGTTCAAACCAAGTCCATTCCCTTCTGCATAGTTGCGGGCTATAACGTTACTGGATGGCTTGCTGCATGCCACAGTTCCTTGTTACTTGTCCTTTCTGGCCAGCCATCTAATCTTCAGTACGGAGAGAAGGAAGCTACTGACAAAAATTTGAAATAGGCCGTTGGGAATGCGCGTCGGTGGCACAGCGGTTAGGACGCTTGCCGACCATGCACATGGTTCGGGGTTCGATCCCCGGTCACAGACGCACTCCTTTACCTCGCTAAGTCAGAAATAATGCCGGTAAAGAGGAAAGGTTGGGCATAAGGCTAGCAACCCAATCCTATAAAATTAAACACTTCTACAGAAACTTCAAGCCACTAGCATGAGGCCCTATGTTCCACTAGGAACCCAAGGGAACAATAATAATAATAATAAAGTCACCATAATCAAAATAATTTCATCTAGATTACTGCACAAGTCAATAACTCAGGGAAACGTATTCAGCGCAGTAAATGCAAGTCAAAGGAAACTGCATTGTATATAAATGCAAGTAAATACTTATTAAAAACGATAAAATCGATATGATTACGAAGTATATTCACCCTTACATAAATGATTAGACTTCTTTCTAAATGATATTTATTTTATATACATGATAAAAACAGTCATTCAGTTGAAATTAATGAAATAATATACCTTTTGAGTGATTGAAAAAAAGTGAGCACTGAACAAAAATCAATAGAAAAATATATCTATACATGTCACAACTTGGTAAGTATTAGTTATATGCATATATCATAAGCAACTGAAGCTGTATGCCTTTTAGAATAGGCCGTGCTTGCATAATACCAATATACTTCAGTTGGACATTAGTGTCATGTATCAAGTCCTTTGTTTGCTGACCGAGTTCAATCAGCCAATTTTGCAGTGTGACCACCATGCCATTTGGCTCATCACCACAGTGCACTCTGTATTAATGTTAAATGGTTAGGGGCAATCGGCACCAAGCCTTGGACCCAGGTTTCGTGCTTGTTAGTACTCATCACCAAGGCGTATCTACAATCCATAAGGAACTCATGTCCCTTCTGAGATTCGAACCAATGTCACTGCATTCAGAGACGCCACCAGTAAGCTATTTAAGTTCGCGATTGACTTTCTGTAGGACTGTATTAGATACTTCAATTGGACATTAACTAGTGGCATACGTCTAGTCCTTTGTTTACTGCAGACCGAATTCTGTCAGTCAAGTTTGCAATACAGTCGTACAGGAGGTCGATTGTTAGCCCAGATAACTCAGTGATAAGGTCTCTGACAGCAGTACTAGATAACACAGGTTCGGATCTCAAAAGGGATATGAGTTTCTTCAAGAGTGCAGATACGTCTCGCTGACGAGTGGCAAAAAGCACGAGACCTGAGTCCAAAACTTCCTACCGAATACCTCCAACCATCTAATAATAATAATCTCAATATAGAAGAAATAAGTGCAGTGCAAAGTCACGAACTGCATTCTACCCTGCATATAACAATTAATTTAGGCATTCGCTGAAACACATATCCATAAAAAAGGAATAGTCTATAAGTAGATATAAAATTACCAAGCGAAAATGTTTGATTAAGGGTATTATACATAAAGTATGGGAAGAAAAACCAGAGTTAAGAGAGACATAATATTAATAAACTTGATTATTCATTAACGACGTTTATTTGTTTCTTGTAAATGTTTATTTCCTTGATAAACAATATAGAATTGGCTCAGGTGATCAACTTTGATCCATAACTGTTATACGATGGTGGACAGTGCTAATTGACTGTTGAAAACTGACTAGTACTGGTAGTAGGAAACAAGTCATGTACTTGATCGTCCATATGATTTTGACTCTGATCTTAACATAATAAAGTAGTGAATAACAATTCTTTTCTTTTTCTTTTACGAGTTGATCATGGATTGATATCAGTTAGAGAACCATTAAAAACCAGGGAGTACTGGACTAACCCTTACAAACCAAACTATAGAAAATTAATCTGATGCTCACTAGTGACTTGCTACAGGATGGAGTTTCCTGGAGGTCTAGTGAGAAGTCGTGACCAGTGAGGTCCAATTAGATGTCACGTGTGTGGATGGTTGGGATCGCGCTAAATCACGAATTGGTAGAAGTTAGAATTCATGAGCCATTGAATCGGGTCCCAGTAGCTGAATGGTATATGAGCTTGCCTTGTAACCGGAAGGTCCTGGGTTCGAAGCCTGGTGGTGGGTGCGTACTGGCGATGATTCCCAAACTAGGATGAAACAGCAGCTGTCCAGTACTCCCTGGTTTTCAATAGTTCTCTAACTGATATCAATCCGTGATCAACTCGTAAAAACATAACTTTCAGTTGCTCTGATGGTCGTAATACATGTAACAAAGATAGATAAGTAAGATTATTTATTATTATTATTATTATTATTATATCCTTTAACTAAGTAATTAAGTAATCTTTTAAGTAAGATTGGGTGATGTGAAATCAATAAGCTGTTAGAATAAAGACTGTGAGAAGTAAACATTAACTTCTTCATTGAAAAAAATATACATGAAATTGAGGGAGTGACCATAACTAAGAACTTATTAAGTGTTTAACATTACTAAATGATAAGAGCAGGGAAGTAAATGTGGCGAGAAACATTTAAAAAAGAACCAAGTGAAAAGAACAGCGTTTGAAAATAATAATAAAAAACAACAATAAAGAATACTTACGTTTAAATTAAGTTCACCGGTTGGAGATGTGTTCAGGACTAATATTGTAACTCGACTAATTCGACGAACTTCCAAACCATCAGGTAATTTTCCTACATGTTTACTTTCATTAATTAAATACAGCCTCCAATCACTATCTGCAAAATAAATATGGACGGCAATTAAAATGACTCATGATATAATGTCTAGTTTTTATTGATTACAAATATGATAATTAGGGATAAAAAAACAGACAAAGTTAACTTCAGTCAGCTGTGCAATTCTCTATCTGATATGGCACGTAACCGTTCGTCATTATGAATATAGATAAATACCATAAATTACATAGATTAATGAGAAACTATTTGTTAATACACTGCAACTAGTCAGTAGTTATATAACCAAGACCTCTCGTAAGATCTAATTTTAGTGCTGTCAACTTTCACCACTGATGTCCTAGAATTATGCCATTCAGCTGGAGTCTAACGGTTGGCATTCCTCTACTTCAACAGTAGCTTCCACTGCAGAAACTAAACGTCTCAAACCAGTATGAAAATACTCTTTGATACTGTTTAGTTTCCATTGGTGTTGACAAAGACTTGGTCACTGTCAGACAGTAAAGCTTAGAAAAATTAAACAATTTATATTCTCCTCCCCTGAGCAATAAATCTAATTTCTTCTTAAACTAATCAAGTAGTTAATATCATCCAGCTAATAATACCATGTGTCGATGGTTTAGTGGTTGAATGCTGCTCACCAGCCACGAAGGAGATTCAGAATCGATTGACGGTCGAAGCTCTCCTAAACCTCGCCTAGTTTACTAGCCCGTATAGAAAACGCGGAAAAAAAGAGAGGTTGGATGAAAAATTGGAAACTCCACCCCATAAAAACAACGCCACCACACCGATACTTAAACTTCAAAGCATGAAGCCCTCAGTTCCTTTCGGAAAGCACGAGGTAATATCATCCACCAGTATATCAATGATACAAAAGACAATCCCAAGATTAAGATAAAAGCAATAAAAGGCAATCAAACCTCTACCTCAACTTTATAGACTTCGAGAAGGCCTTCGACAGTTAGCGCTGACCGCGAAGTCATTTGGAAACTACCCGAGTACTACGGTGTACCCCAAAATATTCATCAACCTTATTCAACAGCTGTACGACAACGGCGGAACATGTCAACTGATCCACAACGGAAAACTCAGCGAGGCTTGTGGGGTAAACACAGGAGTCAGACAAGGGTGCTTATTATCACCAATGACATTCCTAATTGTGGTGGACTGGATTATGCGTCAGACAGTGGGAAACGAGAAGACAGGGATATCCTGGGCCGACCAACGTGAAGAACCTAGAAGACCTGGATTTCGCGCGTGGATGATTCATGTTTGATGTCACACAAAATCGATGACTTACAAGCGAAAACCGAAAAACTGGTCGAAGAAGCAGCCGGCGAAGACAGGACTCCAAGTGAGCATAGACAAGACGGAGGTGATAAAAATAACCAACCAACAACAACAGCAACAACATCCAGCGTCAATCACCATCAACGGGAGGGATTTGAAAGAGGTTACTTCATTCACTTACCTATCTAGGGAGCATTGTCTCAAATACAGGCAGTGGGAACGGACGAGGATGTCAAATCGAGCGAGAATCGGGAAGGCGAGCGAGAAACACATTCATCAACCTGAAACAAATCTGTAAATCTTCGTCACTCAGCCAGCATCAACAACAAAATTCGCTTGGATCTTCAATACAAACGTCCAGTCAGTCAGCTCTTCTATACGGATCAGAAACTTGGTGAACGGGTCACAAAGAATATCTCCAACAGCCTGTTGCAGACCCCTTCATCAACAACTGTCTTTGTTGGCTCTATACTGAAGATCAGATGGCCGGGCCGGAAAGAATCACCAACAAGAAACTATGGGAAGAAACGAACAAAACAAGAACCAGCCAATCGCCCAACAAATATGCAGTAGAAAGTGGAGATGAATTAGACACTCGTTGAGGAGGCCGGTTGGTGACATCGCGCGTCAGGTCATTGCTCGAGTGGAGCCCGAAAGGGAAACGGCGAGTGAGACGTCAGTCCAAGGGTGACATAGAGAAGATCATGTAAAGAGGAGTTGAAAGAGTATGGACTAAGATGGATGCAGGTGAAAAGTACAGAAGAAGGAAGACAGAAGTGGCAGGTGGAGACGTGCAGTTGAAGCCCTATGTTCCACTAGGAACCCAAGGGAACAATAATAATAATACCATAATAAGTTGTAAAAACACCAACTAATAAAAACTTCAATAATATTTCTGTGTTTTATACGAAATAATACCTCATCTTAAAGAGTTTCTCTCACATACTGATGTTGATTGACTAGGCTACTCAACCTCACTCGATACTAATACTTCGATCAAACATACATTTTTAGGGAGAAAATTAACTAAACAATTAATATCCTTTCTATGAAAGACATGTCATTATTCTGACTATAAAGGATCACATGAATTTACTATTATATATATAGGCACATGTGTAAACTTCTTAATTATTACTATATTTTTCCAAAGAAAATGTCTTTCCTAAACTAAAAAGTATGATCAATATAATTCTATACGTAAAAGAATTAATCAATCAATCAAACATAAAAAAACAACCAATTAAAATACAACATTTAAACAGAAGTTGACTGCATCCCTACTCAGATAATGTTTAAAGATAATTTTTACAAAAGAAAAATGAAGTTTAAGTTGAGGATTTGAAGAAAATCACAACTGCATAGAATGAGGCATTGAACAACTTTAATGCATGCAGATACAGTGGATTAAGTTAAAAAATAATTGAAGAGTCAATTCAAATCATCAAACTTCGAATTCCAATTCTTAAACGCACGACACAATTAATGAAGTCTTAGAATTACTTCAGAGTTACATGCTACAATTTCCCTGATGAGAATTTGTCCCTTTCCATGGGGAAGTATTCACATAAGACTGATGCCAAAAGGGATGACAGATTTTGTATTATCACCTTTTTGGTACAGTTATTGCAGGGAAATACAATGTAGCGGAGACACAGGTTTTCTATTTTACAAGGATACATAATTATTCATTGAGAAAAATAGAAGACTCTAGCCACAATTTAAGGTACCAAAAATCCAAGAGGAAGGTAGTCCTAACCTACTACAGCAAAATGTCCGAACACGATGATATGTTAGGATTTGTACGGCATGGCTAACCTCGCCTAGTTTACTAGCCCGCTAGGTTTGTAACCAGTCCCAAGACCGAGTAAAGAGGGAGCATGGGGCGTGGGGCTACCCACTCTACACCACAAAACTAATAAAACTGCTACAGAAGCTTCAACGCAGAAGAAAAATATTAAAAATATAAAAAAACTTATTCCTCTCTTGGATTAGAGAGGCGAAATGACACAGAGGGCTCCTGAAAGCCAGACTTCAGGAAGCCAGTCAGCCGATGTGTCTTCTCTCGATGAAAACAAGAATAACAATGGCGACGTGGAATGTACGCAAGATGTATGAGACAGGGAAGGCTGCCCGGGTAGCCAACGAAATGAGAAGATATGGCACAGAAGTGCTGGTTATCTGTGAGAGAGGATGGAATGGATGTGGTGAGTCAGTGATCGGCTTCGGTCTGAATACACAGATGACAACCACGATCACACTGAGGAGGTCGCTATCATGATGTCACCAGTGGCATCCAAAGCCCTAATGCAGTGGGAACCGATTTTATCCAGGATCCTAACAGCAAGATTCAACTCAAGAGGAGAGAAGGAAGGTCACAATTATCCGATGCTACATACCTACAAACAACGCGGAACAAGAGAAGAAGGAAGACTTTTGCAGACAACTACAAACAATAATGGACAACATCCCGAATGGCTACATCAAAATCCTCATGGACGATTTGAATGCAGGCTAAACTGGGAGCAGATAAAACAGTGAGAAAACCATGAGTCGACAGGCTCTCACTCAGTAAAATCAATGAGAAAGAAGAACTCTCCGCAGAATTCTGAGCTTTTATGACTTGGTGATTGGAGGCAGCGTGTACAAACACAAGGATATACACAAAGCAACATGGATTTAGCATGACGGATACACCAAAAATCAGATGGACTTCATCTCAACCTCAATAATTGGGGACGCAGCCTCCTAGATGTAAAGTCGAGAAGGGGAGAAAATATGGCTTAAGACCATCATCTAGCTCAAGGAACATACAAGGTGAAGCTGAAATCCTTCAGAACAAATGGAGTTAGTTTCAAACGCCAAAAGGTTATCTACTAGACCATTTGGGCCACGAGAGCCACACCTTGTGCAACTCATGTCAGCCGGAACACTACCACTCACTGGGGAATGTAAGCACGCGCAGTGATGAGTCCCAAATAGGACGAAATGTGCATTTTAGGTTTTACTGCTAGTCACCATTCAACAAAATGCTAGTATGAGACTGCTGAAAAGTCCCACACAAACAACCACCTATCACACTAAACCCGGAATTTCGAGCCTCTATTAGTTTGAAATATCGCACCAATATCTCGCAGTCCTGAACTCAATAACGAATAATCGCAAATGAAAATATCTGAGTGAGTTTCAAAAAAATTTCTGCACAGAAGTGCAGCAGTTCAAGTTGTCACACTGCATATCACACAAAGATAGAGAAAAGAAAAGAAAATTGCCACGATCAGTAGAAATCTATAACCGAAAGTGATTACATGAAGAAACATTAGGATTTCACAGATTTGGAAAATTACAAAGAGTGGACGTATTTGCACCATTAAGCAGTTTTCGAATAAATCACTAACAATCTTAATCGGTTGGTTCTTAGCGTCTCGTGAACTCCAACTAGGCAATATACATCTCCCTACGTTACTGGTTCAAATCAACAGTAAAAGATTTCATGGATTGATCCCACGATTTTGTGTGACCACTCCTAACTATTTTCCAACCTAATCCAATATTAGCTAACATTGCTAGACGAGGAAGGCGACGACTTGGAGTGTTTAATACATATCCTAGCCACCTCAATCGATGCAGCTTCACAACCTCATTGAGTGACCACACTTCCTTACCTAGGACTATACTCAACCTTACTATTACACATTATATTATGTCAGTTAACAGGGGAGATAGATAGTTAGCTTGTTTCAGTCTTCCACTTTCAGCGGCCACCTCTCAAAGCCATAAGGCACGACAGAGCGGACTGACGCGAAGTACACACGTCCCTTGATAGATAACCGGATAATACAACTACGCCATAGATGACGTAATTTATCTAGTGTCGCACGAACCTTTTGTATCCGTGCTGAGATTTCGTCATTATTCAGTCCATTATGTCTAATGCAACTCCCCAAATAAGTGAAGTGATCAACACACCCAACCATTTCTCTACAAACCTTTAAAGTGGGAGTCGGTACAGACCAGCACTGTAGCATCACCTTACATTTGACAGAGGTGAGTCGCATGATAAACGCATCAAGATTTCTGCCCAAGGAGTTCAAAAAACTGCATTTTTAGCACCTCTACCTAGGGGGACAACATGATCCGCATGCTCTAGGTCGACAGGGCTGTCCCCTGGTAACAAGTCAATCCCTAATTCGCTACAGTCAGTTCTATTAGTACATCTACAGTGGGCATTTCTGACGGGCACCACACGGTTGTCATCACTTCAGATGACAACTTTCCGTAAGCTCTTACACAGATGTCTGAGTTCGAGTAGAGTACCTTGATTAGTGTGATGTTTAGTGCCTTTGAGGTTTTCATGGAAATTAATCTGATGTATGCTATTAGTCTAAGCAAATGACAACTTTCTTTGTATTTTCTAGATAAAGTGATATGGTATGTAGTTACGTGAAACACATAAAAAAGTAATCTGATTAAATGTCACAATTTTAAAACTAAAACAGTTTAAAGTGAATTAAGAATACAGAATACCCAAAGGTTTACATTGCTTTCGCTTAAAAAATATTGCAAACGCATTCCTTATTCTAAGAACATGTAAGGAACATAAACACTCAACACAATTAAACACAACGAAATCACATGAAAATATCCTGATAACCGAAAGCAAGAACATTCACTTGTGGTAGGCGTGATAACGACTGTTTACGTGATGAGAGAGGAGGTCACCAGGAGGAATGATAATAAACTCGTGGAGAAACCTAAAAGCTCACTTCAAATTGAAGTATGCGCTGAAGATGTCACCCAGTAGGGCGATGAAAGCTTCGCAAACTAACCATCCAGCTCAGAGAACAAAACCACATCAAAATGAGTTTATAACTTGTATAAACACTGGTTTAGTGGTAGATTGTATTTTATACACGTCTTATAGTCCTCCTCATACAACAACAGACAATATTCTGGATTCATTTAGTAAAAAGGAAGCATCCCAACGGTTATTATGCATAAAACGAAGACGGTCGTCTAAACTGGATGTAAATGACCTAATTCCAAAGTGGTGAGATAGTGTTTGTGCAAAATACCGTCTGATAATCTTCTTGAAAATATCAGAGGGGACTTTTCTGAAATTTGACATATGATACCTTAGTCTTTTAGTCTAATTAGGATTGTTTCGCTAAGTAAATCTATATCAAATGATAACGACGCAAAATAGATTGTGGATATTCTGCTTATTTTAACTAATTTAGACCAACTTTACTGATTTATGTCTCTAATGATAATATTCAGCATAACACAAAAAATCAAACTGAAGACTTGTTATCGATCCACCATGAATGTAGTTTTTAACACAATACTAAATGCAATGAATGTGTATGTCCAAAAAGTTACTGAACTTTTAACCAGGTTAAAAGCTCACACATCATTTTATTTACTATAATCTTGGCAGCTGAGTAACAACATAAGAAATTAAGTGTGGCACACAGTCTGCTTTATAAACCCCATACCAATTTATTGAGTTACATCGCTGGCATTATATATTACTGCGGAAAAGTTGGTGAATACTTCACTAAATGAAAGTACCTACCTGGATGATAACGGATTTTCCCAATAACACCTTCGACTTTACCCAAGCAAACAGGGTTCCATTCATTGAAAACATCAGACGCTATAAAAATAGAAAAGGGATAACAGTCCCAATCACACATTGATAACGAAACAGACAGATAATGAAACAGGCTTAAATTACCCAGCAAACATGATTAGACTTCACAAAACTAAATATATTTCCAAATGCGACTTCCGTGAAAATGAGCTTCAAAAGAATTATTGCATCAATATCAGCATTTAAAAAGCATGTCCTCCAAAAAATTACTAATGCAGGATTTTTGATCATTGGTTTTACTATATAAATTGCTTCCAAAAATAAAGTTTTACAGTAAAGCGAATTTAACTTTAAAACAATTAAATATTACTATCTAACTACCTTAGTTGTAGATTTTGCAAGCTTAATTTGTCGTCTTCAGGAGTAAACAACATTTAAAAATCACTCACCTTATACTAAAGATAATCTAAACCACATTCTTCCAAACATCTCCATAATTTAGAAATTATTACGGTTATTTTTGAACATTCAACACCGAATCACGTCTATTTACTCCTCCCCATAAGGCATACTTGCAGTATAATGCCTTACGGAATTAGCTTTCTATCTTATACAAGAACATCCGAAAACTGTATTTTGCCAAATGTTAGGGCTATAAACTGACAAAAACCAGCGAGTTTTCTGAAACTATTCCAAATACTACTAAGCTTTTGAGTAGCAAACGCCTACCCATCAAAACTACAAAACATTTCAGAAGAAATAAGTAATATATTCTTCAGGGTGATGTTTGATAGCCAAGTGAAGTTAAAAAATCTAGACTAGATTTTGATCCCGTCATCATAAAAAATATGAAGTATGTGGAAGAAACGTTTTACATAAGAATGAATTCTGCTCGAGCTGAAGAACTTTTTAGTGGTGTGAAAAGGCGTAACATGTACAAAATTCAAGTTTATTTCAACTGAAATGTTGAGAATATGAAGAAGGTACCTGTACAAGATGCAAATATGAAATCTAACTTGTGATTTTAAAAGCATAATATAATGTCTATCAGTACTTTGTGAAGCTTTCAATATTTGAACACTGCATGTTACTAACCTCACTATTTCATAATGGCCAGTCTTATCCAATTAGTCGGTTTAGTATAAACTATCAATATTTACATGGAATCGCACGCTAAATGGAAAAAGTTAACTCATGTAGATTGACCACGGTTAATATTTGCGGTCTTAGACTGATAATACGTGTTCGCAAAAATAATCTGCATAAGGACGTGTTTTTTGAAACTTTGGAAAAATAGAGCATCTATATCGGCTACTAAAATATTTTCGCTCTGCAGTTACATGATAAACTAGTTTTGGGATTACGATTTATAGTACTTATGAAGAGCGTGCGGCTAGCAGGCAGAAGTCGAAAGTCATTTGTGCGAACTACGGTTGGAAAACTTAGGTCGCTTTGAAACTAAACTTGCCACCTAAAATATATCCTGCTTAAAAATGAAACTCAACACAACTATTTTAATCAAAATATACCCATCTCATCTACAGTACGTGAAATCTACAAATACACCATTTCAAAATGCAAGAAGTACATTAGTCTGGTTTTCTTTCCTTTTTTTAAGCTTCTTACAAATGCCATTCCACCCCAAAAATAAGAATAAAAACGACCGATCCGTCTTCATACTACATAATTCGGAGTATGTAGCGGCATAAGGAGGATCAGAAGTTGCATTTCAGTATAAATTAAGACATACAACGCATATAGACTGTATATATTCGCGAATTACATAATACCAAAACGGAATAACCACTGACAATTAATTAAGTATTCATAAACATATGATATGCCCATTCTGTTACTGCTTCCTTTTCATCCACTTACCATGTCTCACAGTAAGTTTTCCAGAAAGACGGTCACAATACAGTGCCTGGCTTCCATTGACGATTATATATGACGTATTTGTCTCAATTATATCCATCAGAATGCAGCTGTTTGTACTACATTTGTCCCACAAGGTCACTACAAATATACATTTTAGTATGATATAAGTGTTATATCCAATATCCAATATCCTGATGACGAGCTAGTATAAACCAGTGATTTCTTTGAGCTCGCTTCTTGATTGTGAGGTAGAGGTTCCAGATCTTCGGTGAGCTTCTGCGTAGTAAGTCCCGACACTCGACTGCTTTAGCTCTGGTAGACTCCAGGAGGAGTGGTGCGGGGATTGGTCGAGATGTGGTTTGTAGTATGCAGTATGTTAGGACTGTATTGCTGCCGTGAATGGAGTTTGACCTAACTCCCCTTGGTCATTCGGTGTAGTCATAAAAGCAGAATAGTAATAATAATAATAATAGGTTGTAGTGTAGATAATATAGGTTGAGATAAGTGGAATAATAAAGGTGACATAAGGAAAAGATAGAGTGAGAGAAGGCAGAATAGGTCGTGGGGATTTAGTTAGTACGCTTATTCATTGACAGTTTGGTTTCAAATTTTATGAGGATAAGCCATTGAGACACAAACCTTGCATTTCTGCATGATTGTCTAGCTTCCGCTTAAAAATCTCCACAGATGGCGCTGTAGTCACGGCCGCCGGTAAAGCGTTCCAGAGACGGCAAACACGAAGCGAAAAGAAATGTGATCGCACTCGAGTCTTTGGTCTCTGGTGTGCTATCCTTAGCGGGTTACCTCGTGGAAGCCTATAATCGCTTAATGGCAGGATGCTTTTATTTGGGTGGGCCTGGTCATTTAGGATCTTGTAGACGGTGATGAGGTCTCCCCTGTGCCTACGGTAACTGAGTGTGAAAAGACCTAATTTCTTTAGTCTTTCCTCATATGATTTGTTGCGGAGGCCGATCACCCATTTTGTCGCTCGTCTCTGGACACTTTCTAGAATGTTAGCATCCCTTTTGAGTAGCGGAGGTGCAATGATATTATGCACCTCAAGGTGTGGCCTCACATATGCCTTGTATAGCCTTAAGAACAGTTCGGGAGTGAGAGCTCCCAGCTGCCTGTGCATAAAGTGTAATGTTGCGTAGGCTTTGGCGACGTCCCTCGAGTAATTTCCACTGGTGTCTAGCTTTTCTGTTAGAATAAGACCTAGATCACGCTCTGATGGAACACAACTCAAGTTCTGGCCACCAAGGGTGTAATTTACACTCTGTGACCTGCCGGAATGAAGCTGCACTACTTTGCACTTCTTTAGATTGAAAGGCATTCCGTTAGCCAAAGCCCAATTTCCCAGAGTTTGCAGGTCAGCCTGCAATCTATCTGAGTCTTCCGATGAGTTTATTGCTCTCCAAATCTTTACGTCGTCAGCGTAAAGAAGCGCAGAGCAGTTTAGTTGGGGGGGCAGGTCATTGATAAAAATCAAAAACATCAACGGCCCTAGGATAGAACCCTGAGGAACCCCTGATGCCGAGGTGTGCCAAGATGATCGGATGCGGTTGACTTTGGTGCAGAATTCTCTCTCGCCTAAGTAATCTGTCAGCCATGCGAGAAGTGCTCCAGAAACTCCCGCCTTGCCTATTTTGTGAAGGAGCAGACCATGGTGAACTGTGTCGAATGCTTTCGCAAAGTCGAGAAAGATCACGTGGGCTGGTACCTTTTTGTCCCAGGATAGTGTCCAATCGTTCCAGGCTAGTAGAAGATTCGTCACGCAGGATCTTCCCCTCCTGAAACCGTGCTGTGCTTCGTGAAGAAGGTTAGTCCCATCGAAGTATTTTCTCATGTGGTCGTCAATGAGACTTTCCAATATCTTCGATACCACTGGAAGTAGAGCAACTGGTCTGTAACTGGTCACATTCTGCCGGTCACCACCCTTGAAGATAGGGGATAGGATTGCACGTTTCCATTCACATGGAAGTTTCCCTACATCAAGGGAGTGTTGGAACAGATCACTTAGGGGTTGACAGAGACTTTCTGAACACTGCTTCAGGACAGATGGTCTGATGCCATCACAACCTGGAGACTTTCCCGAAGCCAACCTTCCCAATTTTGCAAGTACCATAGCCGGGGTAATTTGAAATGTCCCCAGCAGGTTTTCGTGTGTTGGTTCTGCGATGTAATCTGGATGTTCTGTAGGGGTAATATCCTCGTTACTATTTAGTTGCCTGTGAAAGGCTAGGCTGAATGTCTCTGCCATTTCAAGACTAGTAAGAGATTTCCCATCAGAACCCACTAGATTGCATGCTCCCTGGTTGGTCGGTTTTCTTTCGGCCATAAACCTGTATAGGCTTTTGGGGTTCACGAGAAGCTTATTGGCGAGGTCTCCCTGAAATGTCCTTCTATCGCTCCGGACTCGTATGTTACATCGATTCCTGAGTTCAAGGTACACTTCATATTCGGGTTGACTCTTCGATCGTCGCCACGCGAACCAGGCTTTACGCTTTGCCTGCAGAAGGCGTTGTGTCCCTCTTTTCAGCCATGATCGTTGCTTCCTAGCTTTTGGTGAGACTAAAGGAACAGTGTCTGAGACCGCCTGGTGAATGATCTCCTTTACCACTCTCCAGTGTTCTTCTACTGTTAGCTCTGTCCATTTTTTAGGCCAGTTTGCTTCAGACAGAAGTCTTCGCATTTTGGTAAAGTTGGCTTTGTTATAACACAGATAGGGCTGTGTATTGTCCCACTGTAAGCGCTCGCGGAGGACTATGTCGAATACTATGACCGCGTGGTCACTACTACCTATGGGAGTCGTGATCTGAACGTTTTCCACTAGTAGCTGGTCACTAGTGAGCACGTAATCCAGTCTAGAAGACTTCCCATCAGGGCCCCATCTAGTATCCATCTTGACATTTTCGGTGAATCCAGCCTTCCTGATGGTATGCAGCAGATTTCGATCAAATCTATCATGGGCTTTTCCCGACACCAAGTTAAGAGATGGGGCATTGAAGTCACCAGCTATGACAATTTGATCATAACCCATGTCTTGAGTCGCTGAAATTGTATTTAGCAGTACCTGGTTATGGTCTGCTCCACATGAAGGTGATCGATAAATGCTGCCCACTAGATATTTGCAGTACCCAACGGTGAAGTGGCACCATATGGAGTCAGGGAGCTCTGTGAGGGGAGGGTCCGTCGCGTGAACACATCTGAGCTGTTTGTCGACGTATATGGCGACTCCACCTCCTTCTTTCAGGTCCCTATCTCGCCTGACTAGGACCATATCATTTATACTGACTTCGCTGTCTGCCACCGTAGGGGTTAGCCAGGTTTCCGTCAGTATTATGATTTTGGAGTTTAGTTGTGATTGTAGGTGTCTAAGTTCAGCTATTTTGCCTCTTAGCCCTCTCACATTACTATACAGGCAACTGGTAGTCAGTCTCACCACTTCCCCGTATTGGGGGGTAGTTGACTTGATATTGGCTATCGGTTGAGGAGTTATCCTACGAACTAGTTGGCCGATTCCCCAGGAACCGGCCTGTTGGCGTTTTTTTCTTCTAGTTCAGTTGGAGCACTCGGATGACACTGGCTATCATCGTCCGTGCTGCACCGCTGTAGTGTGACTAGGGGTTGAGGATTTTCTTTTACTACGCTTTGTTCTCTCCTTTGAGTGCGAGGCCGGCTCTCGCAGCAGCGAATGTGTTTGCTGACCTTGTCCTTGGTCTCGTACCATCTATGGAGAGCGGTAGTCAACTGGTCTTGGGAGCTGAACTTGACAGCTAACAGACGTGGCGAGTTAATTGACATAAGATGAGTGGGTCGAGGCAGTCTATAAATAGAGACAGCCCCTGAACTTCCCAGGGCCATCTGGGATGCTAACCATCTCCATTGTTGTACATCATGACAATGCTTTTCGCAGGCGTTCCCAGTTACCAGTTCGGGAATGCCATGCACAACCATGGAGGCAGAAGGAATGAGCTCTGGCGACTCCCTCGCCATTTGTCTTTCCTTCCACGGCCTGTCTGGCTTAACACGTATGTTACAGGCCCTCCCTATAGAAAGGACTTGAGAAGCCAGTAACACTTTTTCAACATCCTCGGTAGAGCTCAATGTTACCCTCAGTGGGGATGGTTTGCCTTCAGGTGCAGCAGTGCCCCTATACAATCTGCATAGATTTACTGGTTGGATGTCCAAACCCAGTGTGCTACTTAAGATGGACCACTGTTCCTGATCAAATAGGGCCCTATCTTTCAGCAGACTACTGCTACAGTCTGGTACATTAAAGAGGATTACACAATTTGATCTGCTAACCGTGGGCTTGGGCTCGGTCCTCGCACGTTTGTGATCACCTTTAAGACCGTTTTGGTTTGACTGGTGCGACTGGGTATTTTTATGTGTCTCAGTGCTAAAGCCAGCATTACTGGTAGACGGTTGGGGTCTTTTTCCAACGACGGAAACCCGTGGTTCTCCAGCCTCTGTGTCTGGAGCGGTTATGGCAAGAGTTACAAGTTTAACCGGTGAGGATTTTGGTATCCCCGGTTTACGCGCGTTTGTACTAACTTCCGGATTGGTGGGGGTCGAGCTTTTCACCTTTTTCCCCGCTACTTCTGTGCCACCTTTAGTTTTCAAAGGACTACGCGAGGCTACATCAGGACGGCAACTCGGGCATATGTACCAGAACCATTGGCATGGGTTTTTACGCATAAAGTCATAATATGCTTTTGGTACCCCACTGTCGCATCTGCAATGCACCCATCGGTTGCAAAAGTTACATTCGAAGGCAGAGTCTGCTTGTTCGACAACAGAAGCACAGACCTTGCAGTCGTCTGTCTTCTTGGGGAGCGTTCTTGTCGTCTTGCGACGTCGTGAACGTTTCTTTTTGGCCTTCCTATTTGTTTCATGGTCTACCATGGGGATGGGTGTTATGAAGTTCTCACTTAGTGCAATTTTCCCACTCGGATCTGTTAACCTAGTCGTGTTAACAGGGGTGGAGCCACATCCACTTGGCTGACTTTGCACAGCTTCACTGTAGGACTGTGGCGACATGGGTAATCTGTACGAGCTGGGAATATTAGCCCTGGTCTTCAGGACCGGTATGCGTGAGTCCATCACCTTCTCCTGTTTGCCTAGTTTGGCTGAA